AAACAGAAATGTCGATGAGAGAGAACATCAACTGACTGCCTCCTGCATGCCCCCCATTTGGGATCAGGACCACAACCGGGGCATGTGCCCTGACTGGGAATCGAACTGGCGACCTCTTGGTGCATGGGCTGATGCTCAACCATGGAGCCACACTGGCTGGGCTAAAATATATGTTACAAAACAAAATCTGTAGCTTTGGTATTTCATATTGTTTATTTCACATGTTTGGCCTGCAGTATATATTTATCGATTGATTACATAATTTTGGTATTTTTAGCTGAAGGTTGAAATACACTAATATAAGTTAGGTATTCAGTAGTTAGTCCAACTCTAAATGCTTATGTTTTCTATAATGGGAAAAAGCTGATACTATAGGCTTATCTGTCTCGAATATTTAATTTTTGATAAATTAAAAATTAGATAAATCTCATAATAACATATAATGTGCAACAATGAGAAACTAGCACAATAAATTAACGTCAATGGACAAATATGTGGGGATAGAGAGGTGCAGCATAAAGAAACAGTGACTTTATGATATATTTCAAATGTCAATTATTATTTATTCCACTAAATTTAGACTGAGGAAAAACATCAGCAACTTTTTTTTAATCCAGAAAACTCCAGAAAATTTGGGAATTTTTTTGGAGAAGTAGAAGTCCGAATTTTAAAGTTCAAAATATTAACAGCATTTTTCATTACACCGAGGATGACTAAAACAATATTGATATGTCCATTACTTCTTGATGCATTAACTAACTTTTATGGTTATATTTTGAATGTACTTTAATTAAACTGCCTCTAGGTTCAGAAGCTTATTAGTGTTCTTATTTGAAAAAATAAGAAACAAATTTACTCGGCACTTACTATTTCTGCCTATAAAGCCACCAGTCTTCCAGCTGATGACATGAACATTCTGTCTAACAAAGTGGAGTCAACAGCTTTTTAATAGTAAAAGTGTTTAAGAGTTACTGATGTTTAAGATTTTAGGCCATAGTGACTCTCAGCATACAAATTAATTTTAGTATCTGTTTTTAACATTAATGTTTTCTTAAAAATCATAGCTTTTGAAGGTGGTAGGCAGCATACTATATATAAAAAGTCCAAGGCCAAAATAATCAAACATACAATTAATTTCTCTACAAATGTATGTAAATAGTCCTGGCTGGTTTGGCTCAGCAGTTAGAGCATCAGCCCATGGTCAAGAGAGCCAGGTTCGGTTCCCGCTAAGGGCACATGCCTCGGTTGCAGTTCATCCTCCGCCCGGTTGGGGTCATGTGGGTGGCGGCCAGTCGATGTCGCTCTCACATCGATGTTTCTCTCTCTCTCTTCCTCGCTCTCTCCCTCCTGCTCTATCTGAAGATGAATGCAAAAGTTTCCTTGGGTGAGGATAAAAAAAATTTATGTAAATAAAGTCACTTGTAATGAACAAAACAGAAGCAGAGGCATAGATGCACGGAACAGACGGACAGCTGTCAGAGGGGAGGGGGCAGGGTGGATGAAAGAAGGTGAAGGGATTGGCCAAAGAACATATACGCATAACCCACAGACACAGACAACACATGGTGATGGCCAGAGGAAAGGAGGTGGACTAAATTAGGGGGCAATGGCACATATGTAATAGTGTCAACAATAAAAATAAAGTTAAAAAAAGTCACTTGTTTTAATACAGATATGTGTAGTGAGAAACTACAGGGCTAGTATGAGGTACATAATAAATACAGTCATAAAAAGAAAACAAATTTTAATTTAGTAGACTCTATCAATCTAGAATACCTATGAATAAATACTCTTAATTCAACATGCTAAAAAATAAGTAAGAGAGACTGCATACCAGAGAAAGAGCAACCTATAACAAAACACTTAGTGTAACAGTATCGGTATCTATTAGAGATTCCATAATTAAATAACTAGACTTGAAACCATAACATGAGTTTAATGGTAGTGTCAAATTGCTAGGGAGAATATTAAAATGAAAATTTATTTTTTTTATGAAGTATACATAAAATATTGGAGAACGTGGGGATTTGGTGAAGGTCTTTATTCTAACAGAAAAACCATTTTAAAAATTTTGATGCGGTAAGAAGTACTATTAGTTGATATTGAAAGGTTTTGTGTATATTCATGGGCAGAACATTCTAATGTTTCATATACATGTACATCCTAAAGGTTATGTAATTCTACCTTCTGCCTTCCTATTAATTCTTAAAGAGTATAATATTTACAGTTGTTTTCACTTTTCTTCACTGTCTCAGAATCTTCTAGTAATTCAGTGCATATCTACATGCATTTATAAACCCTCTAGCTTGCTTAAAGCAAATATAATGCACAGATGACTCCAAGGAATTCACATTCTAGTACTGGAAGTAGAACAACAGAGAAATACCAAAGCACATGTTGCAATGAAGGTTTTGGTGGTGGTGCACAGGAACAGCAGAACTGCAATCCCTAGTTCAGGGTAGTCTGGTATTTCAGGAAAGGCTCCATGGTGGCAAATTATAATGACAAACAATATATAATAACAGAAGATAGATAAATAGATGATAGATGATGATGATAGATAGATGATGATAGATAGATGATAGATGATAGATAGATAGATAGATAGATAGATAGATAGATAGATAGATAGATAGAACAAACTCATTACTCCTGAAAACAAAATAGTTACAAAAATTATAGGTTAACCTAACTTGAAACATCGGGTTGATGAAAGCTCTTCACCAAAAACTCCAGTAAGATTTGTTATTTGAATCATGTCATTGGTCATGCTTCTGGTGGTGGCCTCCTTACTACCAGCTCTGTCTGGCTTTTGTATTTCTCTCTCATCTCCTCTCCACCAGAGTTCTGCAAGAGAATTAAGCCCTAATATCCGGACATTCATCGCATATCATAAATTAACTTCTTTCTTATATGTTTCAACTAAAACTAGTTATGCGACATCCATGGGAAATTGAGAAATCATATTCTGTAGGGCTTTATACTTTGAAGAACCCTAGTGGAGAATGGCTGTTTAACCCAAACAATTCAGTCTTATATTTAAATATTATTACTTAAAACTTAAATCTTCAATGAAGCTTTATATTTTCTCACTATGGTAATAATCATATTTCTAAAAATAAAGTTTTAGATTAAATATAAAAGTTATGTGTCAAATTATACACAATGCACTATATATTACATTTTTATTTATTGTCAAAGAAGAATTTGTGGAAACCTTAGTTCAGTGATAGACACTGAGAAACCATCTGAACCACTGGAGTACTGTATATAAGTCCCCTACCTTAGTAATAATACTTTGTTTTCCCATTTATCTTCAGACAGAGTGGGAGGGAGTGAAGGAGGGAGAAAGAGAGAGAGAGGGAGACAGACAGACAGACAGACAGACAGACATTGAAGTGAGAGACACACGGATTGGTTGCCTCCTGCACAATCCTAACCAGGGCTGGGGACAAACTGCAACCGAGGTACGTGCCCTTGACTGGAATTGAACCCACTGCTCATTGATCCATGGGCTGACACTCTACCGCTGAGCCAAACTGGCCAGGGCAGTAATAATACTTGATATCAAATTTCATCTCAGAGGAAAGGAGAAGGTGGACGGGAAGAGATTAACCAAAGAACTGGTATGCATATGTGCATAACCCATGGCACTGACAATCGTGTGGGAAGTCAGGGGTGTGGGGTGAGAGATGGGTGGAGGGGGTCAATGAGAGGGGGAAGAGGAAGAAAACTGTAATACACTCACTGAACAATGCACATAATTAAAAATCACACATTACTTATTTTTTCTCCCTAAAGACACAACAGAGTTGTTTTAATATTGAATAAATAATGTTTTATATAAGCAGTTTTACTTTTTGTCAATAGCCTTTTTGGGGGGAGAAGTTGCTCCACCTTAAATTAGTCTTTCTCCAATCATTTCTTTCTGATTAATTATTTAAATGTCCAATTTTGTTTGTTTTTCTTTTTGACAGCTGATTGTGCCTTTTATGTACTGTTTTCCTAAAAGTAATTCTTTTCAGACCACCAATTGTTTGATATACATGTCAAAAAATATAGTCAAAATGCCTATTCTATATTAATTAAATTTTAAAATGTTGAATTAGGATAAGAAAGAGGCTCCTATATTTATAAATCAAAACGTACCATTTGAAAATATGAATTTGCACCTATTAGGATAAGTTTCCAACATGCATACTAAAATAATATTTTAACTTCTTCGTGAAAACACATCATAAAATAGGGCATAAAAACATAAAATTTTGCCAGTTAAAATGAGTTAAATGGATACAAATAAAATATAAATAGAAAACACTGGCAGCTTTGCACAATCTGGGCTTTGTTATTTGTCACATAGACTTGTGAAAGAATTACTAGTATACTGGCTGATAAGATTCAACTCTGTTTCTTGACTGGTTCCATGACCATGTGTATTTTAATTTAAAAATATTTATAATAGCCCTGGCCAGGAGGTGCAGTTGGTCGGAGCCTCATCCTGTGCACCAAAATGTTGTGGGTTTGATCCCTGGTCAGGGTGCATATGGGAGGAAATCGACAGATATTTCTCTCTCACATCAATGTTTCTCTCTGTCCCTCTCTTTAAACATATTCTTGGGTGAGGATTAAAAAAGTTATATTCAAAATAATCCTTTGTATATCGCTGCTGCTCTATCATGCTAAGTAAAATGACAGCTGGCCTAAAGGCATTGAGGAAGACAAACAGAACTACAATACTAGGAAATAACAAAACAAATAATTTTCTTTTTTTAATGGAATGGAAAATAAATGAACACCTACCTGTGGTATAAGAGAAAAGCAGCAAGTCTCCATTCATACCTCCTTTTTGTCGAACAGAATTAATTTTTGCTTAATTCTGTAGAATTTTTAAATGTTTATATGCCATCTTTTTATGTGATCTAAAAATATACCTCATTCTGTGATTAAAATCTAGTTCATATGTTGAGCAGAAAAAACAGGGCCACATAATCATATATTACCTTTTTCAATATGCATTCTTTTCGACTCGTGTCCCATGTCATGACCAGCCAAATCTCCCTCCTTGGGCCCAGGGAGTACGTTTGGTGATAAACCCATCAGCATCTGGTTCATGGACAACCCATTCTGGTGAACAGCTGTCAAGCCCAAAACAAAAGAAGAAACACCATAACATACGATGTTCAAATAATTTACTTAGACTTTTGGACCTAAAATAAAATAAATTATAATGGTCTAACTTTAAAATTATAATCTATCTCTAAGAATACTGCAAGACTTGATAACCATGATCATTCCTGAGGATAAATAGAAAAGTAATAAAAATAAAACAAATTGATCTTACACTTATTTTACACAAAATAGTGTTTTTATTTTTTATGCCTGTAATACAAAAGAATGGTCAACACTAAAACTACTGCCAATGAAGCAGTCAAGCTTCTATCCAGTGCATCAGGTTCTCTCCCCTGTATGCAACCTTCCTTTACTCTGCAAGAACTGCAGTCTTAACATTACAATGCTCTTTAACACTATGAAGTTAAAACCTAACAAATAAATTCCAGTGGCATCAGAGGGCAAATAGTTTCCAACAAGGTAAGACACTGAAATAACTGTTTCCATGTTTATATTCTAGTCAATAAAACACCAGCTTTTATAGATATCAAAGTTTTTCCTTAAAAATAGATTTGAACTCAAATTCCAAAATAAAAATGTCCAATTGATATCTATTAAATAGTTAAATGATTAAAAGCAACAAGTGCTTTCTTGAACTATTAAGAGTAAACTGGTACTATTGAAATGCAGGTAGATGATCAAACACCCTTATGATTTTCATAATACAGTCAATAAATTTCTTAATAAATTGCTCAGGAAAATCTTGGTTTTATCCAAATATTTGGAAGAAGAATCATCCCAAAAAACTTACTTTCTCTGGAAAATAAATACTTTTAACAAATCACAAGACTATATCAAAAATTACCTTTTAAAAATCACCACAGTAATAATTGTCTCAGGGGATAATCTTTGATGCTGATGCTAAAATTAGTGGAATAAAATTTTGATGAATAGACTAATTACACATTCTTAAGGTATCAAGTGTCACAGGATAATTATCTATAGAAACTTTACAGTAGAAAAATCTGGTAATTGCCACCCTAACCGAGTGATAGGTATCACAAATATTGGAGAAACATCTTATGACTCCTGAAACAATGCATGAGGACACACTAGCATGTCTGCATGACTTCTGTCAAAAATGCATAACTTAAGCCAAATGATGATGAAACATCAAAAAATCCATACTACGAGACATTCTACAAAATAAGTGGCCTGCATGCTTCAAAAATGACAAGGTATTAAACAAGCTGTGGTACATTTACAGAATGGAATACTATACGAATGGAATACTATACAGCTGTCAAAAAGAAGGATCTATTACCCTTTGGAACATCACTGAGGGATCTAGAGATTATGATGCTAAGTGGAATAAGCCAGTCAGAGAAACACAAGTATCACACGATCTCACTTATATGTAGAATCTAATGAACAAAATAAACTGATGAATAAAACAGAACCAGAGCCGTGGAAACATGGAAAAGACTGATGAAATTCACAGGGAAAGGGGAGAAGGGGGAGTGGGAAGAGATTAACAAAGAACTTATATGCATATATGCATTACCTATGGACACAGACCTGGGGTGGGGCAGGAACTGGGTAGAGGGCTGCAATGGGAGGAAAAGGGATCTCTGTAACACTCTCAACAATAAAGATGGAAGGAAAAAAAAGGAAAGACATAAAGACTGAGGAACTACTCTAGATGAATGAAACTAAAGAAATGTGACAAGTAATTGCAACATGTGATCCTGGATTGGTTTTTGGACAAGAAAAAATCAAAATCCCTTATTATTAAAAACATTAGTTGAGGGGGAAAAAAGATAAAATATTAGTAGAAAAGTTGGTAAAATTTGAATAGGGTTTATAGTTCAGAAAATAGTATTATAATGATCTTAATTAACTGGTTTTGATTATTGTTCTTTGGTTATGTAAGAGAAATTTCATGTTTGGAGAAAATAATGAATGAAGTATTTAAGGTAAAGAAACTGATGTCTACAATCACTAAGGTAGCACTATGTTTTAATCAGGGTATCTCTTTCAGAGAGGTCAATTGATTGTGTAAATCTGGGTGATGAGTATGCAAGACTCCTTTGCATTATTTTTGAAATTTATATGTTAATATAAAATAATTTTATAACACAATAAACATACACATATATGCATATGTATAGAAATTCAGAAATGTATAAATGTATGTATTTATAGATATGTCTGCATATGTGCACGTCTATATGTTTATTTACACTTGAACAATTATGGTAGTATACACATGCAAAAATTTTTATTTTGTTTTTATCAAGAACAAAAATATACAATGATTAATTAAAAACATGAATTTACAACAAAACTCTTTTAGATTTTCTATTTTGTATGTATTTCCATTTAAGCAGTATGAAAAAACATTTTTATTTTTCTAGCACAATACCTTTCCAATGACGATATTTTATTTAAAAATTAGAAATAAAACCAAATAGTCATCATTACATTTCTGATTTTAGTGTGAGCATGGCATAAAACCATACAGAAAAGAGCTTATTGAAAAATGGTTTCATGTAGTGGCAGCTGGGGTTTACCAGTTCCGGGAATAGTGGTCTGGGAATGGTGGTTAATAGACAATTACAATCATCTCTGACAAAATCAGGGAAATAGACTGTAGACAGGGCAAGTCGAGTATTCATATTTGGAACTGTGTTGACTTACATAATTTTTGAAATAATTTTATGACATACAATTCAACCTAACATTTAACTTATCTACCTTAATGCTATCCATATTGAGGATTTCATTTTTATGCCTCTATTCCTTTGTAACTTACAATGATACTTTTTAGAAAATGTTTTTCCTATTATGAAAATTTTTTCAACAACCAAATAACTCCAATAAACTTGGTATAATTAGGTGAACTTTATACTAAGCACAATTTCAGAAAATAATAACAAAATCCTGGAAAGACTATAATAAAGATTGGTTTGTCAACTAAAAGAGTCAGTGTTAATATGTTTATTTTATTTTTTTTGGAAAAACAATATTTGATTCTTGTACAGTTACAAAATAGCCAGTTAATTGAATGGCATGTTAACTTTTAATTTTATTGGCCATGAAGTTCAAGATAAAATACATGAGAATGTAATAATGAAATAAAATATAAGCCTACTTCTCATAATTTAATAATACTGCAACAGTATACATAATTGATTATTACTAATTCAAATTCTATAATTGAAGCAATTTCAAGCCTTTTGATTTATTCATTATTTGAATGACTAAGAAATATTTTTTAATCAATTGTTTTGAATTCCATTTTTTTATTCCTCTATGAATATCTTTGTCAATGTAAGGATGAATTTTAAAAATTTCAAAAATGTCAGGAGTAGGATACCTGTAATACTATCAATAATAAAGCCATCTTATAAAAGAAAAAGACTGAAGAACTGCTTCAGATTAATGAAACTAAAGGAATATGACAAGTAATTGTAACGTGTGATCCTGGATTGGTTTTTGGACCAGGAAAAATAAAAATCTCTTGTTATTAAAAACATTAGTTGATATTTGAGAGTTGGAGGTGTTTGCTTCAGAAACGTATCTAGAAGGTTACTTACTTTCTCTAACTGTTCCATAGCGCAAATGTTTCTGTGTGGCATCAAGGAGCGGGAGTTCACATCAGAACCTGTTAATGTAGTGCCATACCTCATGATACTGCAAACTGGGAAACATAATTTTGAGAGATGGCTATTGCTACAGAGCTTCAGAGCATGATACATCTGAGATCTATTTGGAATGAGGGCATTTTGATTAGAAAAGCCAGCTGCACCTAATAAAGTTGAAAACAGTGACAAGTAGAAGCATGAGACCTACGGATTCTGTCCGAAGAGCTCTCGGTCCGCGCAGGGGAGCTGGACACACTGCTGCTGCGATGTGATGATGGGTGACTGCCAGGCCTTCGGCCCTCCTCCAGAGAGGGGGCAGGCGAGGGGCTGTCGGGAACACGCTCCTACACCACCATGGGAAGGGAGGGGAAAGAAAAGAAGTAAATGCTTTGGACCTTAAGGAATGTTGATTTTTCTCAATACTATAGAAGTGTGAAAGCAATAAACACATTTTTTCATCGCCACTTCGTTGTATTAAAAGATACCTTTTATCTTGAGCAAAGCCAAAGCAGGGAAAGACCAGAAAGAAAATTGGTTCTGTAGGTAAACATCACTATAGTAACCGTAAATGTCAGTCTCCTCTTTGGATAAAAAGCGAGACCAAAGAATACAGCAAGCTTAGAACCCATTAGACAACAGAGAATTAACAGAACAAAGCAGGTTTCAATTTTAGACAATTTTCACTTTAAAGAAATCTTTAAATATACTCTATTGCTCCAGCAAATATCTAAGGATCATTTAGCACACAAATTATCACCACGTCAGAGAGACCATCCCAATAACACCAGAGAAGCTGTTAACGGCCCCTTCATCAGGGCTCTGCTCTGCACACACTTGGATGGTCACATTTAAGGTGTCATAGAAATCGATTATTTAATATTGGAATATTATTTTTGATTCTAGTACATTTCAGACTACCTGCTACTCCTACCTCCAATTGAACCACACTAATGCAGTGTGAGAGATTCATGAAATAGTCATGTCCTAGTGAAACTTGGCATCATGCTTCCTGATACTGCTATGCAGGCTCCAACTCCTACCTCCCAGCAAAGCCCAGTACCCCTCCCATTAGACTGACATGTAAATATACAACTCTCTCCAATAAGCTATTATAAATGGAGTTACAAATTAAGAAATAAACTCATTTGTTAATTTTTTTCTTTTGAACAGCAAGATATTTATACCTTTAGCTATCAACATACATGGGCCTTGAAAAAGAACTGGCTTTCAGTAATCAATAAGAAAAATGGAGGGGTAGAAGTAAACTTCTACATGATGCCTAATAAATAATAAACATCAAAAACTAAATAATAAATATTTAAAACTTAGTTCTAAACATCAAAACACAAGTCATAAATATTATAAAAAGAATTTAAAAGAAAATAGTTCTACAATGTAATTGTTCTATAGGGGGCCATTTTGAAAATATGAATAGCTAATGTAATATAAAAACCAACGACTAATCTCAAGGCTTTGAACTACCTGTGAGAATGAGGGTAATTCTTGTCCTTAGTCTCAGAAGTTCCATTAGCCCAGTGAAAGTTCACAACCCTGCTTTTCAGTAGAACTACCTGAAAGTTCTTCAACAGGTCCATGCCTGGGTTTTACACCCAGAAAGTCTAGCCTAATGAGTGTTGTCACTGAACTGCATCCCCAGAGAAGACTGACTGTGGCTTCATTTGGAAAAAGGGTCTTTGCAGAAGTAATTAATTTAAATGATGCCATAGTGGAGTAGGGTGGGCTTGCACTCCATGCCCGTTGTCCTTACAAGAAGGCATTGCTAAGAAATGAAGGGAAACGTCATGTGAAGACGGAGGCTGAGACAGGAGTTATGCAGCTGCCACCCAAGGAAGGTCAAAGATTGTGGCCCATCACCAGAGCCACTGGACAGGCAAGAAATGATTCTTCCTAAAATCTCAGAAGAAGCACAATGCTGCTGACGTCTTGATTTCAGATTCTAGACTCCAGAAATGTGAGAAGATGAATTTCTGTTGTTTTAAACCATGTACTTTGTGGTCCTTCGTTAAAGCAGCTGTATACACACTGAATCTGAAGTGGGGCCCAGATAGCAGTATTTTTTTAAGGCACTCCAGGTGACGTTAGTGTTCATCCATGATTGAGTACCACTTGTTTTATAGTCTTTTAATTTTCAACCCTGAACACTGTCAATAAACAGATATGCTGAAGATGAACTTTTGAGGAGCATGACAAATAAATGAAAATAACAAGGAAAAAAAAAAGGTCAAGTCCTCATCCAAAATTCATACACAATGATTTCCCATCATATATTCCATGGAATAAACAATAATCCCCCAAGAAACTTCATGACAAAAGATTTGCAAGATCAAACAATACTATGACCAAATAAAGGAAACAACTAAATTTTATTCTCGAAAGTTGCAAAGCATATTGCATCTTTTTTGTAAAGATAACTTCTTAAACATTAGGGGCTTTTGCATGGGTCAAAAATGTGTGCATTTGTTTCTGTAGAGGACAATTAAACCCCCTCAGAATATATGTATTTATCAATATTATACTATTAACACTAGTCTTTTACTTTAACTGATCAGAGATTAAGCATTAAATGCTGTATTTTCTGCAAATTGAGAAACTGGCTATGTAGGTCAATGTAGGTATCACATAATATATTTTCCTACCTAAGTTATATGAGGTTATATTTGAAAGTGCAAATAAGAAACAGAGGTGGAGCAGGAAAGAGGGAAAGAAGGAGACACACACACATACCTCAAATATTAAAATTTATAATTAATTTGTTCAGTGAAGTTTATGAATTTATAGAACTGTATAGTGTAAGTCTTTTATAGTCTGTATGAATGTATTAATAAGCTATGTTATAGCTAACTGCATTCATGACCAGATATATAAAGAATCTAACCTTGAAATTTTGAAACTCTAATAAAAAGTCACCTAAAACTAATACAAAATAATACTGAATATAAACTGTAATTGAAAAAAATTAAAAATGTATAAAACAAACAAAAAAGAAGGCACAAGTTTGTCTATTCTTTTTTGTTGTTGTTAATCTTCACCCAAGGATATTTTTCCATTGAATTTTAGGGAGAGTGGAAGGGAGGGAGATAGAGAGAGAAACATTGATATGAGAGACGCATTGATTGATTACCTCTCACATGACCTTGACCAGGGTCAGGGATGGAACCTGCAACCCAGGTACAGGCCCTTGACTGGGAATCAAACTTGAGACCCTTCAGTGCTCTGTACTAACTCAGTTCTGCTGAGCCAAACCAGCCAGGGCAAGTTTGTCTATTCTTTAAAGCAAATTTCTGGTACATCTAACTCAACACTTGAATTATATAAAAACACATGGTATGCATTTGAGAAAGAACACTGCTGTACTTTTATATAAGTAAAATTGTCTAGCCCTGGCTGGGTGGCTCAGTTGGTTGCAGCACCATCCTGTACACCAAAAGGTTGTGGGTTCAATCCCATCAAGGCACATACCGAGGCTGTGGGTTTGATCCCCCATCAGCCTGAGTGTGGGACACAACCAATCAATGTTTCTGCTTCTCTCTCTCTAAACATTTCCTCAGGTAAGGATTAATAAACTAAGTGAAATAAAACGATATAATTTGTAAATTAACTATTCCATTCTCTTCAATAGGTCGTTCACAGCAATATTTATTCATCAATACATGTTAATATTTCTCTTAATAATTATGTAAGTGATCATTAACTGCAGTGGCATATATTTGGCTGAACAGAGATAAAGTGCAATCTTGAAATAAATCAATCCTTGTAAAATCATTTTGCAAGTCTGAGTTTCCTGTCATAATAGATTTCATAGTAGTGCTAATGGAAAACATGAGAAACTGAATTTTGTCTTATTTAACTCATGAAATACTTAAATATTAAATGTGTGACACTCTAGAAACAAGGGTTATACCATTAAAAACAATTATTTATTTTTTCCACATAAGTATAAAAAGTATTTATATTTTATTGTCATCGTTTACCATGATAGTTTTTTTAGTTATGCATTATTTGCTTGTGCATTTAACAGTCAAAATACTCTAAAGATCACGTATAATTAAAGTATAAACTATATTAAAATGTTAATGTAAAATATATCATAAAACCATAATTTTAGGTTTAGTAATATTGAACTATTTAACTTTAGCTTATTTTTACTTTAATAATTTTTTCTGTCTAAGAACAAAGGATACAAGGACAATACTTAATACTTTTGGTGGAAGAAAATATTTTAATTTATGCAAATTTTTATGACTTAGAGCTTAAGTATTCAAGTGAAACTTTCTATAAATTGAGATACAACATATTCAGTCATTTCACTTAATGTATAATTTCAATCTTTGGAACATGATGTATATTGTTCTTTGAAGAATTTCATTAAAGTAAAATCCACTGAGCAAGTTTAATTTTACTACATTGTTGTACAATAAATTAATTTATTTCAACAGCTTAATTCTTTTATCAAATTTATATGCTTTCCTTTCCAGAGTTTGCTGTACGATGGAGAATAATGGAGACATTAAAGAATTGCTTAGGAGAGAATCTCAAAAGTATTACTAAAACACAATAGATAATGAGTTTTATTCAAGCATAAGAAAGAAGCAGTTCAATGTCTGCAGGAAAACTCTGTAAACTGGTGATATCATTTCATTTGTGTAATAACCTTTAACCTCCAAGATGGGACTGAAATAGGACAAAGAGGAAGAATATTTAATTTAATATTTCAACACACTGTTTTATAGTCCTGCATCATAAATCCACCAATCAATAAAACACAATCTTTCGCCATGTTCCATCTTTATAAAACTAGCCACAATAATAAATGAAAAATTTTAGAGGGATATTCTCTCACTGAAAGAAAAAAAAAGGTCATACTAATAAACTAATGCCAACAGAATAATAATAAAGGAAAAGCTGCATTTATGGCCTCTGGGTAGAAGAAGAAGTATTGGTCTCTAGGATAATTTCAGAATCAAAGGTGGAATTCAAAATGATGTATTCTAAAATAAAAAGTATAAAATGTTCAGTATTGCACACATGTGATTAATTAAACGTTTTAAAAATTGCGTTGTTTAATTGCCCCCTCTCCACCACAAAATGCATTATATTTTATCAACTTAAAATATTTTCCTAGAGTAGGTCTAAATAATCTCAGCTCATTTCTCTAATGGATTTGTTCATTTAGCTTTACTTTATGTGGCTCTTTTTTTCATTGTTTTCATTTTCATCTATCAAAGATTCCCTCACTGAATATGTTATAAAAGTAGAGGGAAGATAGTTCTAACATTAAATGTCTTTCCTGATGTAACTTTTAACTGACAAAATTGAAGTTGAC